AAACACTTCGTTTTTCAATCCCTTTTCATCTCAAACACCTTTTCTTATATATATCTTACCCTATGAATGTCCAAAAATGTGGTTGTTCTTCATATCATCCTTTGAAGAATCCAAGACATTATTCATCGATTCAACACCTTGATTCTTGAGATCCTCACACATTTGGAAACAAGTATCAAACCCTTGAATCCAAAGAACCTGACTTCTTTAACACTATAACGAAGGTACTCTCTCAATTGGGCATTGAGAGAGGTGAACTGCAATTATAGGAAAAGCACAAGAATTGAGAATTCGTGAAATTCCACTTGGAAGAGACAATTGGAAGAAGATCGGGAAGTTGGAGAGACAACAGATCTAGGAAGTTACAGGGAGTAAATCGAGAAGTCTAGTGTAGTGGCTAAACAATATCTAACTGTAGAAATCAAGAAGCTGTGAGGCACAGTTGATCTTGGTGATTACAGAAATTACAACAGTTGGAACCAATGGAATTTGTTAAGCTGGAATCGCACTTTAATCCACATTGTTTATATTGGAGGTAACTGGCTTGGTCTCAGAATTTTTTCCACATTGGGTTTCTCCATCATTAAAGATTTTGTGTTCTTTACTTTCCATCAATTTATTATAATGCGGTAATTCAACATAGGGATAATTGGACTTGTGTGCTTAACCATCTAGAAACCAATTAAAAGTGACTTGTTACTTTAATTAGAATAATTCCGCATGTAAGGTAGAACTAATTGATAATCTAGAACATAAACTTTGTAATCAAGATCTTCATGCGAAATCACAAGTGGTGTGTAGCGTTCTAAATCGAACTTTCAAGTTTGAAAGGGAAACAGATAACATATGAAAAATATATTCGTACACATACCAGAGATTGATTCCAAACTTTTATCCGTGAGGTGGTCGTTCTGGGATAGCTTTAGAAGTGTCAAGGATGCAAGATCTTTGATATTCTTGACGCCAGTATCAGTTAATCCTCCACCATAAATTTCAAGGGACTGCAGGCTCTTGAAAAGCTGAAAAATGGACAAAACAAAAGGATAGATAAGGACGTGTTTGATCTGCGGTCTTGATATTAAGGGCATGTTTGGTATGCATTACTGGATAGGACAAGATGGTATAGTGACTAAATATGCCATGACGTTCAAACAGATCAATTGGAACTATAGATGGTGTAAATGATGGATTCAACAACGCATAACTATTGAAAATAATCAACTTGAATTGAGTAACAAAGATGGTTTCCCAGCATACATCGCAGATAATTCGTGCCAGAATCTGTAATGTCAGCTTCAAAGAGATCCAAATGAGTTAATCCAGTTAAACCTGCAGAATAAGAGAATCTGGAAGTTGTGAACAGATTATAGACGATTATAACTTTAGGCGCGTCCTTGTTGAACATTGCCAATCTTGATTGAAATGTTCAGATAATAGCACTAGAGCTAACCCATGAGAACAACAGAGCATATCAAAAATACAACTAACAAAAGAAGAGGAAATACGAATTCAAATATGCAGCTAAGGGGCATAGTTGTCTTCATATGCATTATCAGGTCTGAAAGAAAATAAAATTAAGCCCACAATTAGCTACATTGATGGAAAAACAGATCGGGAAAGATCATCTTTGGGTCAAAGAAAAGAGTGGCACGTGAAAGGAAGAAAAAATCAAGATATTTCGCTAACTGTAACTAAAAAATAGAGAATACTGATGCCACGGATGCTGACGAATTTTTATTGACTCTTTCAGCTCTAAGGAAATTATTAGAGTAATGCTATTTGTACATCATTGTTTATTCAATTAATTATTGTTACAAAGTATTATCTTATATCAAATTAGTTATAGCATTGATCGATCCCTGACCATATTCTGTATTTAGCTGCTAAAAGAATCCAGTTACATTGTGATCCAACCTACACACAGAAAATACTTGACAGAACATATAAATAGTTGACAATCTCCATATCTGACGCTTTCTCCCTAATATGTATATATAACGAATATGACCCGCGCCCCTTCGTTCCTTCTTAAACCTCTGACGCAACCAAGAAAATTTTTGAGGGAAGGAACAACTAAACTAAGTGAGCTATAGACATATCAGAGAATCATGAAGCACCTAAGTTGCAAGCAAAAACTTTCCAAGAAAGAGTAACATTTGATTCTTAGAAACTAGCAAACAACATGAGTATCTTATTAGGACTAATACCAAGTTTTGAGGCTAAAATATCAATTAACAATTATACAGATTTTTCGCCAATCAAATGCACCACGCAGAAGTCTGAAAGATGCTAACTTGTAAGAGCTGCAAGGCCAGCATCCGTAATTTGATGGTCATCCAAGTCGAGGGATTTCAGAGACGATAACCCAGACAACTTTCTCAAACCACCATCAGTGACAACGGTGAAGGAAAGATTCAAACTCTCCAAATTAAACAGACCTACAAACAAATGGACAGGACAGATCAAACTGAATCCAAATAAGACAGTAGTTGCAAAAGGGTTTCTTGGGGCATGGCACAGGGCTGACCTTGAGGTGGGGTTTTGGCCCTGGTAACATATCATGTGGCATGTCCTATAATTTCTTTGTTATCTAAAACAATTAAAACTTCTATGTTCATTTCCACGTCATAAAAACACTGCATATTATTCCATTTGGGAAACACGACCCCTCTCGTACCTTTAGTTGTAAGTATAAACTCAAGCAATGGAAGCAAATAATTTTGCAACATAAGAAATGTAAAAGTATCAGAATACATGAATAATGCTGATGAACATGAACTCTAAATTGTTATTGAAGGGAACAAGAAACAGATCATGACATAAAAGCTAGCATTCAATAGTAATATCTTCTATACTGTCAGATGTCTAACCAGAGAGATGGCGCAATCCACTGCTTCCTACTTCAGTATCAGACAATTCCAAGCATTTGAGACGATGAGGGCCTGAATCTCAGACACCGTAAGAAAAGCAAATGTCAGCATTCATCAACATACAGCAGCGGGTCCTTTGTTTTCTTTGCAAAAATACAGAGTTGAGTAGAATAAAAACTATGTCATAGAATAACCTGCAAGATTAACCATGCCTTCATCGCTGATTCTGCAAGAATCCATGTTTAAGCTCTCCAAATTTGTTAAATCTGAAGCTATAAAAATTTTAATAAGGTCAACTTTGTTAAGAGAAGTGATCCAAGATCTATTTAAGTTGGTCAAATTTCGGTATTTAATCGATGTGTGATTTATTCCTTGACATGCCCCGCAAGATGGTGGCTCTTTTTTGGCAGACCATCGTGAAATCCGTGTGCTCATTTTTTAGACTTAATCGGGTCGAATAACTCGTTGGAGCTTACTGGACTCTGATACTATGTTAAAATTTGGGGTTCATCTCAACCTTATTAAGAGGAGTGGCCCAAGATCTATTTAAGTTGGTCAATATTTCGGTATTTAACCGATGTGGGATTTATTCCCTTAACATTATCACTAATTACTGAAATATTTTATTCTTGATATAAAGGATAATACTCTGGGTATTACAGTAAACCAAGTGCCCTAATAAGAGAATTCTACCAAGACAACCTTTAGATGAATTTAAAGCAGAAAATTACTCTGGGTTTTTTTCCTTCATTTCTTGAGTTTTGGGTCTCTTTTACTTTTTTTTTGTAACGGAAGGCTTTGCTTCTAATTCTTGTTTGTAATATTGCTTTTTTACTTTAGCTTTTATTTTTTTGTCCGTTTAGAATGCTGTTTTTTTTATTGGTGTGAGATTTCCAAGCAAAGTAGAATCTATATTTTAATTTATATTTTTTATATGAATATCATCTTGCCCAGGATCATAGATTAGAAAAGCTATGCTCCATTAAAATGAAATTACTGTTTGGTTTAGTTAATTCTTTTTCCTTGTATAGCCTAGTGAATTTTGGTAGCGAGGCTTTGTATGTATAAATTTCAAATTCTGATATGCCAAATGGTTTGAGATATAGATGAAGATTGAATTGTGTCTATAGATTCAATCTTTTTTGACTTATTTAAAATAGATTCCATCTTATTTAGGGTCTGTTTGGTAATGATTATGAGAATTGATTTTTTGACAGTTAGCGAGAAAAGTGGTTCCACCTGTGAGTGAGGAAGTCAAAAATGACGACTGAAATAGTGAAATAATGGTAAACAAAAATTGATTTTTTGGAGTGAAACATTGCTACCAAACAGGGCTTTAAGATACGAAGGATTAAAGAGCACGGATTGAACACGTGATATGGACTTGCATAGAGAACTTCAACAATTGCATTCAATTCTTCATAGATGCTCTGTGTGTGTGTGTGTATCAATAATTTACATGTTATTTATCAAAATTTTGTTTATCACATCATTGATAATATGTCTGTATATAAACTTACATACAATCTATAAATTTTTGTATAAGATGATCTTATATTTCCACACTCTTTTACGAAAGTTCAATTGTGTATTAATTTTTTATGTTGGGACCTAAACATGCACATGTCAATTTTATAGTGTCAAGGAGTACCAAGTTTTCATATTCCGCAAGTACTAGAAATTTTCTTGGATGAAAACGTCTGATATATGCTTGTTGGAAAAATATTTGACATGTTAAGTGAACTGTCTGAAAAGTAAACCGTCTGATATATCCATGTTCACCATGAACATTTTGCCCTCTTGGAACCACTCGCCTTGTTAGTATGATGGTCCTTTTTTGAAATCTTTCATAAAAATTAATTAGCTTATTAGGAAAACTAGAAGGGAGTTTTCTTCACCAAAATTTACAGATTTTACTTGAGCAATAATTCAGGCATGCAAATGATAGAGGCAGAAGTATAGAGTGATGTTCAGATTCTGCCGTTTTTTGTTTGGCATCTTGCTCAGACTGAAACTAGTCAAAAGTGACGTCCTATTGGGCTTTATGGTAGTGGTACTTTGTCATTGCAATCTTTATATCCCCACACTAAGATTAAAATGAATACTTCTTGTGTACATATTGGTCTGGGATAGTTTATCGATGTATTTTAAGAAGCTTTCCTTTTTTTCCTCGTGATATTTATGTGTTTCCACTTCCATCAGAGACGAGAAGAGGTGTGTGGATTTTTCTTTTTGAGCTTAATTTTATTTTACATTATTTGTCAGAGAAAAAAAAATGAAAGGAAAAACAACTTATCATTGAACTGTCTGATTCCATCTGCAGATTCCTCTTTGGAAACGTCAAGAAAGATGTAATGTCAGTGGAAAGCCAGAATTTGGGTGAATATGTTGATGATGAGATTATGCTGAATGACGATGACGATGTTGATGGCAATGATATTGATGAGGATGATTGTTCTGGAGAAGGGAGTGATATGCATTCTCATGGTTATGCGGATTCTGATGATGAGATTCAGGCTAATGGAGATGGAGGCAGCGATGACGACGACGATAGTGACAAAGAGGAGGATCAACCACCACCAAAATAGAAAGAGTGAAACATTTTTCTAACTTTATTTTTCAGTAGCTCAGTTGCAGAACTACAATTTAATGGGGTTTTACGTGTAGCCTGTGGATTTGTTTTGGTATTTATCATAAAAACAAACATGTCAGATTATTTGGTTTATGTGTAACCTTGGGGATCTTTAGTTATATATCTTAATCTGTGTCCATCATATGTTGTCATGGATCAATGTTATTTAAATGTTCTCAATTTCGAGGATTTCTCATCATCTCATTATTTGAGAATCGTACCGAACCGAACCCGTCGGTTCTCGATTCAAATATCCATTTGGATATTTAACTTAGGAAGAACAACTCGATCCGATTCAACTTGGGTCCAGCTCGATCAATTTGGTTCAAGAGTTTTACTCAACCCTTCATTATATCCACAAACTGGAAAACATAGTAGCAAGTCGAGTGATAAACAATTTCACACTACTTACGATGAAAAAAGGACGACATACAACAAAACAGTGCTAAAATTGACAACATTCTTTCTGAACCCCGCCAAAATTTAAATTCTGATGTTCTTCAAACAAAAATTAATAGGGTTATAGAAAATAAAAGAAACTAATCGTCCTGAAAGTTTGATCTTAGCTCTCCCATGACAAGAACGCCCATTCACACCATTGCACTTATCCTTACAATTATCATCATCATCGGCAGCAGCAATAAAATCTCGGTTACAGGCTAAAAGCTTAAAACATGGAAACAAGTGGTGAGATGACGTTCTCTCTTAATTTTCCTGGCATTCGTCGCTCAGATCTTAAAAAGCAGACCACCATGAGTGGCAAAGAAGGGAGCAAACACAAGAGACTCGACTGCCATGAGCTTGATAAGAATGTTGAGTGATGGACCTGAAGTGTCCTTGAGAGGATCGCCAATGGTGTCACCAATAACAGCTGCTTTGTGAGGTTCAGATCCCTTCGGCCCAAGAGTCCTTGCATGCTCGGAAGCACCAGCCTAATAAAATAAGAAACATATATAGAAGTAAACTACACCGCTCCACTATCGTTGCATGAGAAAAGAACGAACGTTCATCTTTAAACCATATTATTACCTCAATATACTTCTTGGCATTGTCCCATGCACCACCAGTGTTCGATGCAGATATTGCTATCTGTAAGAATACCGGAACAGGAAAGAAAAGAGAGAGATCTCGATAAAAAGACATAAAAAATGAAAATTATTTTCAAAACATCCATCGTGAACGGAAATAAAAATTTATACCTGTACACCAGAAACAAGAGAACCAGCAAGAACACCAGAGAGGGTCTCGACTCCAAAGAAGATTCCAACAACGAGAGGTGTAAGCATGACAAGGGCACCAGGGGGAATCATCTCCTTGATCGAGGCATCAGTTGAGATCTTCACACAGTTGGCATAATCGGGCTTGGTGTGACCCTCCATCAGACCAGGAATAGTGTTGAACTGCCTACGAACTTCCTCAACCATTTTCAGAGCTGCACTACCTACACTCTTCATTGTCATGGCAGAGAACCAGTAAGGAAGCATTGCCCCAACAATCAACCCAATAAAGACCTTAGGGGTCAAAACATCAACAGTAGAAATTTCTGCCCGACTCACAAAGGCACCAAATAGTGCCAATGACACAAGTGCAGCAGATCCAATGGCAAATCCCTAGAAAAAAACAAGGAGTACAACTCGAGTTAAATAGCCAGCATGTGCACATTAAAACAACCATGAAGAAACAAATACAAAAGCTTCGACAGAAGTTAACAAGCAATATACAATTGTAATGTAATAGAGAAATGATGCCAACTAAGGGTATAAGTTCACATTGCACCTTTGAATATCTGATTACAACCACGGAATTTGAGGACAAGAATAAAGAGAGAAAACATGCAAATACCTTTCCAATAGCAGCAGTGGTATTCCCAGCAGCATCAAGTGCATCAGTTCTCTCACGAATTCGGTGGCTCATTCCAGCCATCTCAGCAATTCCTCCGGCGTTGTCACTAATGGGACCATAAGCATCAATAGCCAACCCAGTGGCAATTGTGCTAAGCATTCCAAGGGCAGCCACTGCAATACCGTACATGGCAGCGAAGGTGAAACTAACAAAAATACTGATAGCAATGGCAAAAATAGGAATGATGACTGATTTGTATCCCAGTGCAAGGCCAAATATGACATTGGTAGCAGCACCAGTTCTACAGGAATCGGCAACATCTTGCACAGGTCTGGAGGGCAAAAATGAATAGGATAAAAGAAATCAGATTCTAGCAAGAATACTGATGCCAAAAAAAGAATGAAGGGATTAAGTGACACTGTTGCATGAAGACAAAAAAAATAGTAATATTCACCTGTAAGCATTGCTGGTATAATACTCTGTCACGAATCCAATAATAAGTCCAGCCCAAAGCCCGACGCACACACACAAGAATAGCTGCCTGTAAAGCCACAATGTGCAAAGTACCCAAAAAATAAGTAACATGGGTTTCACATTAATGGTGCATTTATTTAATGAAATGAATGCATATGCAATGGAGGAACAAAGCTTAAGTAACACAAAGCCACATTAAGTAAACAGGGAACGGGTACTGAAAAATTTATACAAATGCAGGTAAAATATTAATGATGCTTTATCGAAGATAATGAAAGCATGAGCAAAAAATCAAAAGCTTACCAGTTCTTCACAACCTTTTGAGTACCGAAATTGAAAATCGTGAAGGATGATGGCAGGCAAGTCCAGGTAACAATTGCGATTCCCACAGTCATAAGAACAGTGGAGATAATAAGCTGATTTTTCAATGCTGGCTCAATTTCCTTCACAGCCTTGATTTCAAAAAAGTCAGTAGCAAAAAGGGTGGTAATTAAGCAAACAAGGATTCCCACGGAACTAATAAGCAGTGGGTAACACATTGCAGTGAAGTCATGAGTCAATCCGAAAGAGGAGATGGAAGCCACCACAAGAGCAGCACATGATGATTCTGCATATGAACCGAATAGATCAGACCCCATTCCAGCAATATCCCCAACATTATCACCAACGTTGTCAGCAATCACCTGCAGCAGACAAAAATTAAATCCATTACAACAAATTCCTGGGCCAAAGAACATGACTTCAGGAAAGCATTGTATCTTACAGCTGGATTCCTGGGGTCATCTTCTGGAATGTTCCTTTCAACCTTCCCAACAAGATCAGCACCAACATCAGCAGCCTTGGTGTAAATACCTCCTCCTACTCTCCCAAAAAGAGCCATGGAAGATCCACCGAGACCATAGCCAGTTATTGCCTCGAAAAGGCCTTCCCAGTCGTCACCATAGTACAGCTTGAAGAGATTGATGGTAATGTATAGCACCAAAAGGCCATTTGCAGCAAGGAGAAAACCCATGACTGCACCAGACCTGAATGCGACAATAAAAGCTTTCCCAACACCCTTTCTAGCTTCCAATGTAGTTCTTGCATTAGCATATGTAGCAATTTTCATCCCGAGAAAACCAGAAAGGACTGAAGTGATAGCACCAAGCAAAAAGGATAAGGTGCTGAAGATAGCATTTGCAAGAGCTGGCTTGCACAATTTTTCCTTGTCATAGGTGCAAGGCTGGCTTCGTGTGCTGAAACCTTCCACAGAGCCCAGGAACAAAAAGATGAGAATCGCAAAAGCAACCATGAAAATACCAACATATTGATACTCCGTAAATAAGAAAGATGTTGCGCCTGTTACAACCAGAAATTGTAGATCAGTAAAACATAAATATCCATGTAACCTAACCTTATAGTTGGCAAATAGAAACTAAAACCAATAAAAACAATGTGAATATTATGAAGATCTGCACTTGTGACAACTAAAAATCAAAAATTCCTTTTCCACCAAATTTTTAAAACAGCTACATTAGTAAATTAACCTTTTTTTATCACACACAATGTTGTTAAAACCGGTATTGAAACCGGTGGGTCAATAGCAAGTCGATCCAGGTGTGGAGTTGGGCCAATTTGCAATCCAATTGGTCAAAATAAAGTCAAAGCGCTAATTTTATGCGAAACCATAGTCTGGATAAAAAATGTGAGCATGGTTCCATAATTGCGTAGGCAGGGAATCGAACATGGTTCTTAGATCTTTCAAAGAAGACCTCTTTCCATTAAACTATCATTGATTTTGTTTAGAAATATAATTTCTTATACTCATACAAATAAGATTTTAATGTTTGATACGTAACGAATTAGATATTTAACTTATGTTTGGTTTATATTTATGCACACTCAAGCAACTTTTTATCCACAAATTCCAAGGGTCCCACAAATATTACCGACTTATCAATAACTCATTTCTATCAATTTATAATTTACACTGCTTATCAACACTTCCCAAATGTACTTTAAGATAAATTACATTTTTCACAAAGAAGAAATTCAAGAATGCAAATCATAAAAATATCAATTTACAAAATTAGATGTAAATCAAAATATTAGTTTCTCTATGTATCATAATAATTTAACATGTTAATAATTAAAAAAAAATAAAATTAATAACATGCTTTAATAAAATCAAAATATTTAAATTGATGTTTATACTTCCAATTATTTTTATACATCATCTTTCAATTAAAAAAATATTGTTTAAATTTGTGATCATTCAACTCAGTGGAGAAATCGAGCATAATAACTATTATCACATAAAAGCTGCAGAACCAAATTTGTCGAAAACTCATAAGCATGGCTAAGCTTAAAAATAAGTGAAGGTTAATATCTTCGAAACATGCTTGGATTATTTTAAAGTATTTATAAGTAAAAAAAGTTACTTAGAGCATGTTTAGAAACAATTTAAATAATAAATAGATAGAAATCACTCACAAATTCATAGACAGCATTGTGGGTGCTAGAAATATATGGATAAAAGGTTATTTAAACGTTTATACAATATATAAACATGAGCCAAACATCTTACACCCTTTTTTCTAGAAAGTTATTTATTTTCAAAAAAATATTTATTACCTATTAGTAAACATTTTTAGCCAAACATGCCCTTGGAACTGGAATAACTTCAATTCCAAAAAAATTATTTACATATAATTACACCAATTCCCAATTTCCCACTGACAGCAATATTCGATCAAATAATGAACAATGATATAGGTACAAAATTTTTTGACAAAAAATTTTTACAAACAACACATGGTGTGACATCATTGGAT